TGAGGCGGGAGCTCCATCTCTAGGCCATCTCACCACTTTCTTTATTCCCAAAAAGGCCCATCCCATAATATACCTGCCCAAGAATTCCGTTTTTTTCTGCTTATCTTCTAGAAATGAAGCTCTGGAAGGAGCCTTCAAATTACGGCCACAATTAAGCCCAAAATTTTCATTGCTAAGCAAGACAGTTGTTAAGTGAGCTTTGCCCCATTTTACGACCTTGCCTGCCGCTGTTGTTAACTGACTCACTGCAGTTGTTAAGTGAATCATTCGGTCATTAAGTGAACCTGGCTTCCCCCCATTGGCTTTTCTTGTCAGAAGGTCACAAAAAGGGACCCCAGGACCTTGCGTCCGTCATAAACATGAGCCAGTTTCCGTGCATCCAAATTTTGATCGCGTGGCCATGGGGATGCTGCAATGGTCGTAAGCGTGAAAAATGGTCATAAGTGTCAACTCACGAAGCATCCCTCACCTGCTCTCGAGTTGCCATAGGAAAGGAGGGATGGGAAACCAATGAAAGGGCAATGCAGCAAAAGACAGATGCACATTCCAGACTTATCTCTCTCAAGGCCGTCTCCCAGGTTATCCACAGCAGCCGGAGGGGAGTGTGATCTCTAAAAGTGCTCTATTGGAGAATGTGATTTATGACACACCCTGGGGGAAAGGGGGAAACGGGGTCATAATTGGGCCATAAATTATGTGGGGTCGGAGCTGGCTTCATTTGGGTACATGCCGACATGTTGCTCCTAATAAATAACTGGATTTCTTTTGAAGCTTGGCTCGAGTGCAGCCTAGGGATGTTTTGAGAGTTGACAGATGCCACAAGTTTGACATCCCTGTTCCAAGACCCTTACCTGAAACTAAATTAAGATTGAGACTTCTTCCTTCCTTCCTTTCCCTTCAGTCCCTGAGAATCCTGAACCAAGGCAGAGGAAAGGACAACCACCGTTTTAGAATATATATATATATTTCCCTGGAAAGCAGCCATTTGGCCCTTGTTTTAATGCTGAGAGGTATATATATCTCTATATCTATCTATCTATCTATCTATCTATCTATCTATCTATCTATCTATCTATCTATCTATCCATCCACCCACCCACCCACCCACCCACCTCATCTATTATGTCTGTCCATCTGTCTATCTTTCTATTTATCTAACCTCTCTCTCTCCCCGTGTCTGTGTGTGTGTGTCCGTCCATCCATTCCCCATTGCCTCCGAGCAATGCCTGGGCAAAAGTATCTGAATCTCCTTTGAAAGCCTCTCTGCAGAAGAGATCCAGGAGAGCCCCGCATAGCGTATTGACTTCTCCAGCTGCGGAGTTTGGACTGGACTGTCCAGCTGCCTTTCCGTAACACAGGGAGTATCTTCCTGGAAACAAGGGAGTCTCTCAGCTGCAAAAGCACTTTGACAGGGGACAGGATGTGGGCGTTTAGAAAGACTCCATCCAGATTGGCAACACTCGTGTGACTGATTCTTAACTGCTTGCGTATCTCCTATCTTACAAAAATGCTAACATTTTTTTTTGGCAAGGTTTTAGGTAAAATGCATTTTTGGGGATACTCCCACCGGTGCATTTTCCTAAGATGCTATTAAAAAGTCAGCCTGCCCGGGAAATCAGTACAGAAGGTGGCATTTTTTATAAGCCGGGAAGCTTCTGGGATTCATTGTATATTGAGACACTGGAAACAAAACACTGAAACTCAACCAGACCCCACAAATAATTAGTCAGAATCCTTTTTATTTTTATTTTTTGACGTAAAAGGCTGGCTGGGAATATTTTCTTTTGGCACCCTGGAAAAAGGCAGAGAGAAATTACAAGTCTCTCTCTCACACACACACAAACACCACCTCGCTTTTTCTGTCTGCAGTTGTCTTGTGCTGGTTCATTTAGCCACAAAATGATTGTGTGTCAGTTCGGCAGTTGGCGTCTTTGCTTACGCTGGAGCAACATAAAGGGAAAACAACGACCACCTCCCTTCCCTGCCAAAGGAAATTCGCAGCCACGTATTTCCCCAAGCCACCGATAATGGCGGAGGGCTGGCGGCTGTCTGTCAGTCAGCGCGAGAGGAGACGAACGTCGCCGGCGTCGTGTTTTGTAGGTGTTTTCAGTGGGAGCAATATTGGCTTTATTAGAAGTGACAAATGGAGCTGCTTTGTCAAGGGCGAATTAGCCCTGAGGTAAAATTGCTCTAGTCTGTTGGTGGAGCTGCCTTGAGAGTTGCTTTGGAAAAGGTTAGCTGGCCTTGGCTTGATTTTAGCCCGAACGGTTGAATGTGAGTAAGTAGCTTGAATTGACAGAGGATAACGAATCGAATCATATCAAGCCAAACTGAAAGGAATCAGCCTTCCTTCCTACTTTCCTTCCTTCCTTCTTTCCTTCCTTCCTTTCCTCCCTCCCTCCCTTCATTCCTTCCTCCATTCCGTCCTGTGGTTTAAACTAGATGACCTCCAAGGTCCTTTCAAACTCATTCTGTTATTCTGCTATCCTTCCTTCCTTCNTCTATCTATCTAAATATCATGGGAAAAGACCCAAATACAGCAAGACCAGCATGCTCGCGCGCGCACACACACACACACATTTTCTCTTTGGAATAGGCTCGATAGAGCCATTTTCAGCCGAGTTTAGTCTGAATCATAGTTTCAACTCCTTGCGTGACATTTTAACTGTTTATATTTTATGTCTTCATCGTTGGTCACCTTGAGGCAGATTGTAAATTGTACAAATAAATAAAGTATAAAGCCAATAACTGTACGGAGGGGGGTTTTTTTGGCCGGGGGGTGGGGGATTCAACTGCTTCAGTGGCTACTTTAAAAGGATCGCTGGCAAACAATTTAGGGATTTGTTCCTGTTGTTTGTGCAACAGCATAAAAGGACTCTGGAAAAGGGCACCGTTTTCTTTTTATTGTTATTATTATTTTTGAGTTGGGTTGAGCCAAGGATCTGCCTTCAGAAGTTGATTTAAAAGGTCACAGAGGAAATATACAGCCGTCTACTAATTAGATGCAGAGTCTTACTCCAATCAAGGTTTCTGTCTATGACATAGCATTTACACAGTGAGTTACAAGTGATTGAGTGGTCTGGCAACTGGAACCCCTTCCCTTTTTATTCAAAATATTTCTCTGCTTATTATTGAGGGGCCCTTGACATGGATTTTGTATATTGCTAACTAACCTAATTACTTTGCATTTTGATTTGATTGCATTTTTTCTCTCTCTTTTAAAATGATGATCAGGTTTATTAGCTTCCAATGCTCCTAAACTGATAAAACAGGCTGGAGACGAACTGCAGATAAGGAAAAAAAAAAGTTGGTTAACACAAATTAGAGTCTGGTTTCTCTCTTTTGTGAACTCCAGGCAACCTTTTTCCTTACAATGTATGCCCCTCCTGACTGCATTTTAATGAACAGGGGTGATATTATGCTTTTACAGAACAATAATATTAAGGAGCCGAGGTGGCGCAGTGGTTACATGCAGCACTGCAGGCNCTGGGGCAGCCTCTCAAATATCGGAAGACTGCTATCCTGTCTCCCCTGGTCCTTCTCTTCTCTAGACTAGCCATGCCCAGTTCCTGCAACCGTTCATTGTATGTTTTAGCCTCCGGTCCCCTAATCATCTCTGTTGCTCTTCTCTGCATTCTTTCTAGAGTCTCCACTTCTTTATAGTGTGGTGACCACATTATATGAGTGTTATGTGCTTTCTGGGGCAGGAGAGGCTGGGCTGTCATGGATGAGTGCAGAGACAGCTGCCAATGATTTGCTGCTGCTGATTTTTCAGTTCATGTTTTCTAAAATTGTCGTGTGCACCATGTTCTTTTGCTGGGATTGGCGTCTTTGTGCCTCGGTGCCCTCTTGGTTTGGGTTGTTCTTTCAGCGTAAGAGAAAAAAATATAGCACAACCACTTCCTTCTCTTGTTGCTTTTTCTGGGGAGACCATGGGTGTGCCCGGTGAACAGGGCTGCGGATTCTAAACTGAGTAGCCGTAGGAGGAAAATGTCTGTGGGTTTAAGAGCTGGTGGAATCTGAACCAAAGCTGCAGTCACTTGGAGAAAAAGTGGGCGGAAATATGCAGGCCTGGAAGAAAAACAAAAGTTTGATGAGCAGAAATGCACTCTGATGCAGTGTGGCCATTAGGATCAAATACAGGGTTGTGTTAGGAAGAGATGTTTTTTTAAAAAAAGAGTTAAATTGAGTTTTACGCAAATTTATTTGTAAGGCGTAGAGACATGCTTTCAAATCAGCAGGGCGTGACTAAAGCTGCCTGGAAGAGGGAGCTGTTGCCTATTCTACACTTTGCCAAACATATTGCGTATATAGAAAGAAGAACTTTTCATACTACCTAGTGGTGAAGATGCTCTCCTCCCACTCAGAAGGTTGAGAGTTCGATCCTAGGTAGCAAAGAAAGAAAGAAAAAATCTGCTGTGAACACCATGTAGGTGTCAGGAAGGGCATCTGGCTAGTAAATGCTCAGCTCCGTCCCAACTCTATCCCAGGGGTAGGATTAATTTTTTTTAGCAAGGGGTTCTCTGCCCAGTTGCTGACTGGCTGTAGACATGGCGCGTGTGGCCTAGTTGGCTTCCTGAACAATGGTTGGGGGGCGTTTTTGTCCTCCCCGGGCTTCTCAAGCCTCCGGGAGGGCGAAAACAGCCTCCCCAGGTTCCGGAAGCCCCCTGGAGGCTGGAAACAAGCCCTTCTCCTGAACTTCTGGTAGGCTTGTTTTTCACTCTCCTTGATCCTCCGCAGGTGCCCTGCACTTACCTGTATCCAAAATGGGCCATGTGAAGATCCTGGAAGGGGTGGGGTGGGGTTCCGGGCCAGCCAGGAGTGGGATTTTGGGGTTCTCCGAACTGCACGGAATCTTAGCTGGAGGGTCTCCCGAACCCCTGCAAACCTCCAGCAGTCCCCCCCCCCGCCTATCCCAAATAGGGACTACAAGGGGGTTGTTGTAATTTTAAATAGCTTGTACAGAAAGCAACTTAATTTCCCTATTTTCTTCTACAGCTGTGCTTCTACCATGGACATCAAGGAGGTGGACCTCAGAGAGATGGCTTCTGTCATCCAGTCGAAAGTCGTCCTGGAGGTGTCCTCTCAAGTCCAGTCGCTCCTGGATTCTCTAGAAACCACCACGCTGGACATCGCAGTGACTGGCGAAGGTGGGGCTGGCAAGTCCACCTTCATCAACGCCATGTTGGGGATCCGTGACGATGACTTCGGTGCGGCCAAAACTGGTGTGGTTGAGACTACGGCTTCGCCCACCCCTTACCTTCACCCTCATCTTCCCCATGTCCGGCTATGGGACCTGCCAGGTATTGGTACACCTTCCTTCCAAGCCAAAAAATATCTCCAGCGGGTGAGATTTGAGAGATACGATTTCTTCATCATCGTAACGTCCGAGCGTTTCCGAGAGAATCACGCTGAGCTGGCTCGGGCTGTGGCTGCCATGGGCAAACGCTTCTACTTCGTCCGTTCCAAGGTAGACCAGGATCTGTGGGCTACCCAACAGCGAAGGCCGAGCTCGTTCCAGGAAGCTCAGGTGCTGCAGGAAATAGAGTCAGACTGTTCCCGTCAGCTCAAGCGGGAAGGCTTGGAGAACCCCAAGGTCTTCTTGATCTCCAGCTTCCATTTGCATAGGTTTGACTTCCACCGCTTAAAGGACACTCTGGCTGAAGAGCTGGAAGGGCACAAGAGACACACCCTGCTGCTTTCCTTTCCATCCGTCACCGCTGCAGCTGTGCAGAAGAAGAAGAGCTCGCTGCGCTGGCACATCTGGAAGAAGGCGCTGCTGGCGTGTTTCATTTCAGCCCTGCCCGGCCACCCGTTCTACCTCAACGTCCCCATGCTCATGAAGACGCTCAAGAACTACCAGCAGCATTTCGGCTTGGATGATGCATCTTTGGAGACCTTGGCCGCCACGGTCTCCAAGCCCTCTTACGAGTTGAAAAACCAAGTGCGTTCAAAATTCGTGGGGGGCCTTTCGGAAGAGGCTATCCAGACAGTTTTGAGGCAGTCTGCAATCTGTGGGCAGGTGGCGGCCACAGCGCTGAATAGCCAATTCCCCTTTTTCAACAACTTGGTAGCAGGGGCCATCTCGTTCGTGGCCGCCTATTATTTGTTGCACACAGCTCTGGATAGTTTTGCCGAAGATGCGCAGAGGGTCTTGGAAAGAGCGTATGGCTTGGAGACAGTGGTTCAGGGCTCCATTGGCTGTCCTTCATTGGGCTTCACCTGTGAATGAAGACGATGAAGAACACCAGCCAAAATTCCTTGGAGATGGACAAATCGGGTTATTTTTTTCCCCTTCTCTTTTCTGCATTAATATTGCTTCTTGTTTTCTTCAATTGGTCAAACTGGCCAGGAGAACTTAGCCAAGGTTGCTGTCTGCCTATTCCCTGTCATGGCGAAGCACTCAGAACCATCTCTCCAGGCACACCAGCAGTCCACCTGTTGCTCTTCCAGGTTGTGGCACGCACATTCCACGCCTGCCAGCTGGTTGTCAAAAAACAGCTCCCGGGCACCCATGCGCGCGCCGGGAAGCTGAGATTCTGGGTTTCTGGCGCACACATGCATGCCAGCCAGGTAGTCTTTGCCTGCGCATGTGCGCCAGGAACTGGAAACTCAGCTGAGTGGCACGTGCACGGAACTGCTCTTCCAGTTTACTGTGCGCATGCGCACCGGGGAGCTGCTCTTCCGGATTCTGCTGTTCTCCTGTGCGCATGAGTGGGCTCCCATTTCAGTACTCGGTGCCGAAAAGATTTGCCAACACTGGCCTATCCTGTGAAGAGAACCCTTCTCCACCCACCCCCCCAAAGGTTATTGAGATTAGTCTTCAGATGGTGACCCTACATAACTGGGAAGACACTTTGCATTTCTTTAGATGTAGCAGATTTGATTATTGGGAGGTGTTTTGCTGTTTTTCATATAATAAATTGGTTCTTGGAAACTTTTATATAGTGGCAACCTTTTGAAATGATAAATGCTCTGGAATCTCTTCATGTCTCAGTGGGTCATTCATTTATTTTATACATACATTTATAGACCATTCTTATCAGTGGTGGGATTCAAATAATTTAACAACTGGTTCTCTGCCCTAATGACCGGCTGGCTAAGCATGGCTCAGTGGTCATGTGGGCATGGCCAACTCAAGGTCACGTTGGGCGCTTGGCCTTAGTTGTTACAATGTAATAAGGGTTAACCGGAGAGGCAGTTTCTGTAAGCAGGGTAAAATAAAGATTAGACTAGAAACAACACCAGAATGTTTCCTTCCNAATGAATTAATAGTTGTGGGGAATAGTTGTTTAGCAGAGTGATGGCATTTTTGGGGAAAACTTTCCTTGTGTCTAGTTCAGTGTTTCTCAACCTTGGCAACTTGAAGATGTCCGGACTTCAACTCCTAGAATTCCCCAGCCAGCGAATGCTGGCTGGGGAATTCTGGGAGTTGAAGTCCGGACATCTTCAAGTTGCCAAGGTTGAGATGCTGGCTGGGGAATTCTGGGAGTTGAAGTCCGGACATCTTCAAGTTGCCAAGGTTGAGAAACACTGGTCTAGTTGTTCTGGTGTGCAGTAAACTGACCAACTAAATGGAACTAGCAGAGTGTTTCTTGGCCGGATGCTCTTCCCTGTCGCCAATGAGGAGTTTAGTTCAGCAGATATATTCTCAGTGTGCCCAGATAGAGAAATGTTTGCCTCTACCTAGGATCGAACTCTCACAGCCTTTTGACTGTGAGGTGAAAGCTCCCCCTCTACGCCACCAACCGCAACCCTCCGAAGCCAATTAATTTAATGGTAGGGTGTAAAAACACCCAAGCAATGAATTTGCAACAAACTATTGCCAAACTTTTCCCCCCCATCCCGTAAATGGCTAATATTATATTTCCCATCTCATTCCACATAATGAATTCTGGTCACTTTTCCCCCCCTTTATCCTCCCACGTTTCTCCTTTCCACACTGGTCCTGTTAACAATTTCAGGTTTTCTCCCTCTCCGGCGTCTGGAAACCTATGACATTTTTCTGGAATTGATATTAGGCGAGCAAATTAGCCCACACAGATTAGTTTTAACAGCTCCGCTGTTTTGCTTCGCCCCTCCCCGCCCGCTGCCTTGCAACCTTTCTCATTCCTCGCCTTGATAAGGAAACCAATTAAAAGCCACCAAGTATATTTAATGACATTGCTAAATGGGGCACATCACAAATTAAAAATTCCCCATGCAAGGAGAAAGTTATTTACGGAGGTTTGTTAACAAGATTATTTAAGAAAACAGTTCCCCATTATTCTTTTATTTCTGTTTGAGGGGAAGATTTACTCGCAGGCGTGTAAATTGGAGTTGTGGGGAATAAAACTGGGCAGGAACTCAGGCTGTGGCCTCGCCTGTTGGATCTTGGCAGTTTTTCAAACTTTTTTATTTTTCTTGATTTCCCCTGGCGATTATGGAAGAGATTCAGGAGGGGTACTAAATTAGACCCAAAAAAAATTCTTAAATCACCCCAGGGATGCAGTTTTATTTATTGCAACGGGGATAAATATTTCGAGGCTGTTTCCTAGCCTCGTGAAACACTTTGCAGATTCAATCCCTGGGTGTGTGTGTTTTGAAAGACAAAGCTAGTACAGATAATTCTCAATTTGGAACCGTTCACTCAGTGACGATTTTGAAGTTAACAATGGTCCCCAACCCTGAAGTCCACACGACTGAACTTAAGATGCTAAACGAACCACAGATAAAGTTCTTTGCAGTGATTGTTGTCACATGATCGTGTTTTACGATGGTTTTGCTGTACACCTCAAAATGTTTTGCAATATTCGGCCAGTCACATCGATGATCCAATTTATGACTGTCATGAGTTACAACCATATTGGGCTGGCTCTGTTAGGTCTACCTATATCTTTGCACCTTCACTTCCATAGACAGAGAAATTGGGGGTGGAGGTATTAAGTACTACTGGTTTTCTTCGACTGACGACAAGCCCAAAATTTATGTTGCTAAGTGAGACATTTCTTAAGTGAATTTTGGTCCCCTTTTACACTCTTTCTTACCACAATTGTTAAGTGAATCACCACAGTGGCTAATCTTCGATGGCAGCAGATATTTCTCTCCTTGGGCACAAAAGAGAAAATATCTACTGTGAACTCTGCATAGGCATCAGGAAGGGCAGCTGGTCAATAAATGCTCAGCTCCTTCCAGTCGCCCCGATTCTACCCTGAATTAAGAGATGACACCATTGTAAAAAAGGAGTTTAGGACCCAAAATGCAGAGAAAAATCATTGTTAGGCTACATTTGCATATGCATGGGTCTGCATTAAACAAATCTATAAACAAAAGATATGGATGCAAACGGTAAAATGTTGCATAAATATTCCATTTCTAAAACGGCAACGTCTTCTATTTATGCATTTCTGGGAGAGAGTATTTCTTTTTAATAGTGATGTCTTGTATGCAGATGAAGGGATTGTTTTGTTCTGAAAGCAGTTTAGAGCACACCGTAGTTTGATTTTATGCGTTTGCATAAAATAACACATTTATTTATTTGGTTATAAATACCTCACCCATCCATTTAAAAGTGAAAGTAATGCATTTTTCCCCCTCTCCAAATTGCTGAAATATCGAAATAGTTGTCTCATTAATTAAATGAAATCCAATCGAAGTAATGTACAATAAAGAACAGGAGCCAGCAGTTTTCGAGGGACATTTTATAGGTCTTATCATCCTATTCTATTTTAATGTGCAATACTCATCATTCGCAACAGATGGCAGCAGCTAGCCAGCCTTGAAAAAGTTGAGCAGGGTGCCATCTGCAGGAATAGCTACCACGCAATCCATCAGGCCTCTGGTTGGTCAGGAAAGTTGAAAAAATCAGTGACAAACAATTGCCAAGAAACCCATATGGGCTTTTCTGTAATGTCACCAGAATGGAGATTGACCTGAAAGAGTGTTTAGATCGCTTAGATAGTGGAAGAAATTGAAAATTTCATAGAAGGGAAAGAAATTGAAACTTTCTTCCACCTAGAAATAAGGAGAAATTTCCTGACAGTGAGAATAGCAGTAGCAGTTAGATTTATATACCGCTTCATAGGACTTTCAGCCCTCTCTAAGCGGTTTACAGAGTCAGCAT